GGTCAGCTTTACAACCAGCGGTAGCCAGTAAAACGTAGTTTCATACTGCGTAATTCGAGTCTTTTTCTATTTTCGTTAACATTTAACGAGAAATTGATTTCAGGGAATAATTAAGGTAGGGCCGTGAAAAAAGCTCAGTGATCGGGCATTAGCGACAGTGGTGGAAGTTGTATCACTTCCACATCCATTTTTTGGCAGTTTCACCTGTCACTTCCGATATTTAATGTTCTTAGCCACGTCGTTTCTTGATTCACTACTTTTAGCAATTCTTTTTATTCTAAAGAATGGCTCCAAAGTATATACTTTAAAGTATATGAAAATACCTACAGCATACTCTTTCGCCCACTGACTTGCAGAATTCGACCATTTGTTTCGTTACTCTTGAAACCATATTGTTGAGCAATAAACTGTCGAATTGACTGGATTTCACTTATTTCCTTCAAAGTTAAGTAGCGTTATTTTTTTGTATAGATACGCTTGCGAAATATTTGTTAGCAAAAAGAAAAAAAATTAGAAAAAAAATTAAAAAAATCAACGGTTCTGAAGATACGCGTTTTAAGTGCTCTGGAATGTTAGTAATATAAGATCAAGAATAATCCTCATAACATCAAAGTATTAGGAACACAGTTTATACGAACAACAAAAAATTAACTTGATAGAGTTAAAAAATACGAAAATCAGAGGTAATTTTTTCTTAAATCAACTTTATTACGTTTTAGTCTAGTGCTGGGGTTTTACAGCCAGTCAGATTTTGCTGAATTTCATTTTTCAACATTTGATAATGGAAGATCCAGTAATTTTCTACTCATTGTCTCGATCAAATAATGATGAATACGATTTATACCATTTTTTCTATACATCAATACGATTGTCTGCAACACTAGACTGTTAGGGTGCTGCGCCGCATGTGATTTTACGCTGTAAGGTTCAGCAATTTCAAAACTGGGCAAATAAGTGGAAAATGAAGTTAGTTATTTGCTTTTGCAGTTTTTACCAGCTGTATTATTGTTTTAGGCCCGAATGCCTGACCTATTTTTGTCATTGCAGAAGTTGTTGAGATGCGAAGTAGGTCTGTTTGGCTACCTGGTGCTCAGGTGTGTAAGGACTGGGCTTTTTAGGAGTGTTGCTTACGGTTCGTGCTTCAGTATTTTGTTTAATTTATGCCTGCAAAACTGGGTTACTGGCCGATAGAAGAGGAGAACTGAGGTTTTGATGAGTGTAAATAGTTACTTCTTTACAGTTCTACTCTCAGTTTGCTTTTTTTTTTTTTTTTTCTGCGTGGAAACAAATTAAATTGCAGGTGTTTTGCTGCTGGAACGCCTCAGTGGTAGTGTTTGGATGATTAGTAGTAGACGATGTAGCCACAAGTGTTCGCAATCATCACGGGACTGAACAACTTTTGAATGTTTGAGGCAAATGTGTCAGAGGCATTGATTCGACCTCAAAAGGTTATAGTCTGCAATATTTGGTGATTGGACAGATGGACTTATTATGGTAAGTTTAAAAGTCGCAGGCTAACTTCTAAAGATGTTAGAGTGTATCCCGAAATTTACTCGGCCAAGCAGACTGGGCAGGTTGGATAAGCAGTTTTACTTATTCCAGCCAATCTGTTTTTGGCTAAAGCATTACTCATGAATTTTAATCCCAGGCTTGCATATGAATTTGCATCCACTGTTTCATGCGTCATGTACATTGAGTTCGGTTGAAACAGGTTTTAAATTGGGACTAGTTCGGTGAAGAGTTCGTTTTAAAGGATTTTTGATCTCGTTTTAGGAAGACGGGAGGAGTCTGTGTTACGTTGACTCGGCAGGTCTGTTCCGTGATTTGTTTTGGGGACTGGTTTTCGAAAACTTGTTGCTTCCGCCATTTGTCTTCAGAGTTTGTTAGCTGTAAGGTTTGGTTCTTTAGTTCACATTGCAATTGTTGTAATTATGGCGGGACGCTGTGTGGTCTTTACAATGGAGTAGTTGTGGTTTTAATTTTGGCGGGTTTTCCCGCAGGGATTGTGCAGATGATCGCATTTTGGATTTTGCTGCTTTTGGGTTCTTTTGGTTTTGTTCAAGCTTTCAAATTGATGCTGGCCTGTAGGTGCTCACTTATGATTTGAATGATCACCTATTTGTTCAGAAATGAGTAACCAGCTAGACTCGTTGAGCATTCTTTCTTCAGCACCGTCGGATTCCTCAAGCTTTTCAAAATGATTCCTCTGTACACTCAGCAGCCATTGAATAAATGTAATTTGAACTAGATTTTCCACAGTTTTCTGCATTTTTGAGTTATGAGAATGGACTAGACTAAAAGCGCAGCTATTAGTCGTTAGGCGCCGTCAACGGTTGATTCAAACTTTTTTTGAATTTTAAGATTGCTGAAGTCTGTGGTTGTTTAATTAAAGCTTTCATTTTCACAGTAGGAAATCTCTTGTTTTTTCGTTGCTCATTTTTATGAATAAAATTTACATGTTCATTTTACTTTAAGCAAGCTGAAGGAGATTAGTACTTGCGGTATTGATGTTGTGTTTTAAAACTGTTCGATATTCCGGACAGATTGTAGCAGCAGGAAAGTGGTGATGTCCCACCTTGTTTGTTCGTCTGATGCTATATATAGAGTACTCACTATGTGGAGCGCCCCAGTTCGCAAATGACAGTGAATCTTAAGTGCGTTTTGGAGGTACCGTAGTGGAGTTTGTTAAGTAGGAGGTAATTTCAGAAGTTTTTTCAGCGATCTTGCTAATTTCTGGCAATGGTTTTCCTACAGTACTTACTGCCTTTAATGATACTGAATATGCATTTTCATCAACTGATTCTTCAATAAGAATCCAGGCTCAGGTTAAGGGGTGATTAGGCGGACATGTTGTAAGTGTGCCAAGAAGTTCGTGGAATTGTGCGTTTCGCAGCTTAATTTGCTTAACAGTAAGGTTTTTAAACCATTAACGGAAGTGGCTTGAGTACCGTAGAACAAGTAACAGCTAACATCATTTGCGAGACAAACGTTGTAATCTACAATTTATAAGTGGAGAAGTGTTAAGAGAGTTGGAAGGGCATTTTAGCGCAAAGCACAAAGGTTTCTTTCAAGTGTTGTTGTCTTGCTTGACAGAAGCTATGCGATTTGAAGTAGAATTGTGTGTTTGATTTGGAATGACTTTGTTGCTTTTGTTTTGAATGAAATTTGAGTACAGCTCTGTTAAGTGGACATTTACTGTGGCTTCTCACTGTGTTCTCTTTAGTGCTACAAGATGGAGCCGAAAAAAATCGAGGGCTTGGAAGAGCTGGTTGCGGCGAAGATGGAGATGGAAGTGAGATC